GGTTGGGGGTCACCACAACAGGAGGAACTATGTTAAGAGGTCGCAGCATTAGGGAAGTGCATATCAGATATTTTTGCGATTCATAACAGTAGCAAAATTACAGTTGTGAAGTAGTAACGAAAATAATGTTATGGTTGGGGGTCACCACAACATGAGGAACTATGTTAAGAGGCCGTGGCATTAGGGAAGTGCATATCATGTTATGGTTGGGGGTCACCACAACATGAGGAATGGTATTAAGGGGTCGTGGCGGAATATCAGATATTTTTGCAATTCATTACAGTAGCAAAATTACAGTTACGTAGTAGCAACGAAAATAATGTTATGGTTGGGGGTCTCCACAACATGAGGAACTATGTTAAGAGGCCGTGGCATTAGGGAAGTGCATATCATGTTATGGTTGGGGGTCACCACAACATGAGGAATGGTATTAAGGGGTCGTGGCGGCATATCAGATAGTTTTTACAATTCATAACAGTAGCAAAATTACAGTTATGAAGTAGCAACGAAAATAATGTTATGGTTGGGGGTCACCACAACATGAGGAACTGTATTAAGGGGTTGCGGCATTAGGAAGGTTGAGATCCACTGTTCTAGGCCAACTTCATAACAGTAGCAAAATTACAGTTATGAAGTAGGAACGAAAATAATTTTACGTTTGGGTCCACCACAACATCAGGAACTGTATTAAGGGGTCACGGCATGAGGAAGGTTGAGAACAATTGCTTTAAGGGGTTGGAATGCATGACCTTTGGGTGCCCCTCCCAACTCCACGATTCTATATCCCATCATCCCCATTTGTGCCAAATCCCGGCAACAAGCTGGGCCCCTCCGCCTCTCCTTCCCCTTCCCCCACGAACCCTTTATTATTTCTTCGTCATCCGGACCCGTTTCCATAGAAACTCCCTTTCCGTTTGGATACTCCCGTCGTCACCGCCAGGAAGGGATTGTGTATGCGAGTGTGTGTGTGTGTGAATGTGTTAGCATGCATGCATCTGTATATACACTTGTGTGCGTGACAGGGAGAGAGAAAGAGAGCGTGCGCAACGATCCCCTCAAGGTATTGTTGTCATTGCCTTGTGCGCACACACCCCTCTCTTTCTCGCTCACCCTTGCACACTTGGCAAAGGGACATTTGCACAACACAACCCACATCCTCCCAGTCCTTCGGTTTGACCTTAGCTTGATGTCCCCGTACCTGGTTTGGAGAGGGAGATGGGAAACGTGCTTTTGTGTGTTTACGGGACTGGGAAAACAGATCAAAGAGGATCCATGGAAACCACTGTTGCCTATATATGCACACACCCCACTTCACATATCTCTCATCCCAGGGGCCCCAGGAGCGTGCCTTGCGGGGCCACGCTCCGGGCACGGTGCCAGCCTTGGCTGCAGATGGATGCCAAACCGAAGGAAGGAGCCGCCGGGCCGCGCGGCGTCGGAGGCAAAACGGGGCAATCTGCTCCTCGAACCGGCCAGCCTTGGAGCCCTGCACCGAGTCCAAGTGGGCTGGGCTAGCTCAACGTTGGCTGCTGTCGCTAATCCGAGCTGGCACCCGGCTCCGTTTCCTTCAGCCATTTTAGGCTGCCAGCTGGGGGAACTCCTTGAGCAAAATGGCTCCCAAAAGAGGGGAGGAAGGCATGTGTAAAAGGGGGTGCAATAGGGGGAAGAACAGGGAAGGGAACAGAGCTATCCAAAGAGTAGCTACGTTGGGATATATTTCCGTCATGCACAGTTTGTGGTCCCAATTAATTGGTCTTGTAACCAACAATGGCAAAGAGCAAAAGTTTAGTGGTTCTCAACCTGGGGTCCCCAGATGTTTTTGGCCTACAACTCCCAGATATCCCAGTGATTTTACCAGCTGTTAGGATTTCTGGGAGTTGAAGGCCAAAAACATCTGGGGACCCCAGGTTGAGAACTATGGGTTAGATGGCCTTGACCTCCCTTTACTATGTATTTGCACATGTGCAAACTGTCTCAAACCCAGGCACGAGCAAACTTGGGCCCTCCAGGTGTTTTGGACTGCAACTCCCACAATTCCTAACAGCCTACCGGCTGTTAGGAATTGTGGAGTTGCAGTCAAAACACCTGGAGGGCCCAAGTTTGCCCATGTGTGCTCTAACCACCAGGACACTTTTCCTGTTCCATTTTCCCCCTGAAACATTTTGCTACCTGTGGCCTACTATCCCCTCCTCTCTTCTGCATGCCAAGTTACCCACCTAGTATTATTATTATTATTATTATTATTATTATTATTATTATTAACTTTATTTGTACCCCGCTAGCATCTCCCGAAGGACTCGATGCGGCTTACAAAGGCCAAGGCCTCAAAACACAACACAACAATACAACACCTAAAGCAAAATTAAAAACAGTTAAAGCAATATTAACGACATGCAATAAACAATACATCAAGACACTATGAAAACTGGGCCAGGCCAGAGTAAGGGGTACAGGATTAAAAGTGCTGATGTGATAGGTGGTGTGTGAGGATTGTAGGGCAAGTGCAGTGTGCAGTGTGCAGCAATCTTAGTTCTACTAAAGTGCTTCTGGGACTTGTTATTGGAGATTCCTATTCTGGAAAGGCACATCGGAACAGCCAGGTCTTCAAGTTCTTTCTAAAGACTGCCAATGTAGGGGCCTGTCTAAGATCTTTTGGAGGGCGTTCCAGAGTCGGGGGGCCACCACAGAAAAGGCCCTGTCTCGTGTCCCCACCAAACGCACCTGCGACGCAGGTGGAATCACGAGCAGGGCCTCTCCAGATGACCGAAGTGAACGTGTGGGGTTCATAAACGGAGATGTGGTCACGCAGGTAGGCAGGTCCCAAACTGTTTAGGGCTTTGTAGGTAAGCACCTGCACCTTGAATTGGGCTCGGAAAATAAATGGCAGCCAGTGGAGCTCCTTGAACAGGAGGGTTGACCTCTCTCTGTAAGGCCCCAGTTAACATCCTGGCTGCTGCCCGTTGGACCAATTGGAATTTCCGAGCCGTTTTCAAGGGCAGCCCCACGTAGAGCACATTGCAGTAATCCAATCTAGAGGTGACCAAGGCATGGACCACCCCAGCCAGATCAGCCTTTGCGAGGTACGGTCGCAGTTGGCGCACAAGTCTCAGTTATGCAAAAGCCCTCCCGGATTAGTAAAGGTTGTTGTAGGTTTTTCGGGCAGTATAGCCATGTTCTATAAGCATTCTCTCCTGACGTTTTGCCTGCATCTATGGCAAGCATCCTCAGAGGTTGTGTGGTCTGTTGGAAACTAGGAAAATGGGGAATATATATCTGTGGAAAGTCCAGGGTGGGAGAAAGCCACAATTGCTAAAGTGGGGCAGAAGGATCACCTTATGTGTAGTGCAAAAGAGAGGAGACACTTAGGCAATCCCTCGTTGTCTGAGTAGGATTGCCTTCCAAGATCAGTGTACTGGCGGTGGGTCTGTAGGTGACTCTGGTGCCCTATTCTTGATCTGCCGCAGTGAGGACATCGGTTTCCAGGTGGAAGGCGGTCCTGGTTGGGGTTAGCTTGACATGACTTCCCCTTGGCATGTTTCTTTCTTTCACCCTCCACTCTTGCCTCTTCAAATTCTACAGCACTGCTGGTCACAGCTGACCTCCAGCTGGAGCGCTCAAGGGCCAGGGCTTCCCAGTTCTCAGTGTCTATGCTAGAGTTTTTAAGGTTGGCTTTGAGCCCATCTTTAAATCTCTTTTTCTGCACACCAACATTCCTCTTTGCGTTCTTGAGTTCGGAGTAGAGCAACTGCTTTGGGAGACGGTGGTCGGGCATCCGGACAATGTGGCCGGTCCAGCGGAGTTGATGGGGGAGGAGCATCGCTTCAATGCTGGTGGTCTTTCTTTCTTCCAGCATGTTGACATTTGTCTGCTTGTCTTCCCAAGAGATTTGCAGGATTTTCCGGAGGCAACGCTGATGGAATCGTTCCAGGAGTTGCATGTGACGTCTGTAGACAGTCCATGTCTCGCAGGCGTAAAGCAGGGTTGGGAGGACAATAGCTGTATAAACAAGCTCCTTGGTATCCCTACAGATGCTCAAACACTCTCTGCTTCATTCGGAAGAATGCTGCACTCGCAGAGCTCAGGCGGTGTTGTATTTTGGTGTCAATGTTGGCTTTTGTGGAGAGGTGGCTGCTAAGGTAGCGGAAATGATCAATATTTTCTAATGTTACACCATTAATCTGTATCTCTGGCATTGGAGAGGGGTTGGCTGGTGATTGCTGGATGAGCACTTTGGTTTTCTCGATGTTCAATGACAGGCCGAGCTGCTCGTTTGCTTCTGCAAAGGTGTTTAGAGGAGACACTATGGTACCACTTGACTGCCATGGCTCAATGCTATTGAAATATAGGAGTTGTAGTTTTACAAAGGTCTTCCCCTTTATTTTTGAAGGCTTTCATGGCTGGAATCACTGGGTTGTCATGAGTTTTCTGCGTTGTCTGACCATATTCCCGAAGCATTCTCTCCTGATGCTTCGCCTGCACCTATGGCAGGCATCCTCAGGGGGTGTGAGATCTGTTGGAAGCTAGGAAAATTGGGTTTATATATCGGTGGATAGTCCAGGGTGGAAGAAAGAACTCTTGTCTGTTGTAGGAACACCTAGTCACAACTCAACAAAGGATTATCCGAGGCAGTAACAAGCAACACGTGGCCGGTCCAGCAGATTTGATGGCATAGAAGCATCATTTCAGTGCTGGTGGTCTTTGCTTCTTCTTCCAGCATGCTGACATTTGTCCGCCTGTCTTTTCAAGAGATTTGCAGGATTTTTTGGAGGCAGCGCTGATGGAATCATTCCAGGAGTTGAGTGTAACGTCTATAGACAGTCCACGTTTTGCAGGCGTATAGCAGGGCTGGGAGAACAAAAGCTTTATAAACAAGCACCTTGGTCTCCCTACGGATATCCCAGTCTTCAAACACTTCCAGATCTCAACTTCAGTGACTCCTGCTTTATGTAGAGAACTGTTGGGAAGCCTTTTGCTGACTCGTTTCTTCTTTCTTTCCGCAGGTCAGAGTCAGCACAATGGCTCCGGTTGTGGAGGTCACAGATGTCAGCCATTCCAGCTCCCTCCTGGTCCAGCTGAACGAGCAGCGCCTGCGCGGCCAGTTTTGCGACATCACCATCATTGCTGAAGACACCAAGTTCAAGGCCCATAAGAACGTCCTTGCCGCCTCCAGCCCCTACTTCAAGGAAGTGCTTTCCGAGGACTCGGTGTGCCGCGAGGTGGGCCAGATCCTGGAGCTTCCCGACATCCAAGCCGAAGTCTTCTCCGACATCCTCAACTTCATCTACAACTCCCACCTCTCAGTGCCCACCCCGGCAGCCGCGAAGGAAATTGGAGCTGTCGGCCGGCGCTTGGGCATCTCACGCTTGGAGGACTTGGATGACTCCTCAGCAGGTGCCAAGATGGACGACTCCGGCACAGCCACCGCCTCCAGGCCATGCGCGTCGCCAATCGACCTCACCTGCCCTCCCCGCTCAGCCGAGCCTTCCAGCCCTTTCTGTTCTGAGGAATCGACCAAAGCACTCAACCCAGTGGAAGACGCCCAGCCTGACGCTGAACAAGAAACGGCCAAGATCCTGTACAACCTCAGCTCGGTCGCCGCGATGTCACCACCGACCCCTGACCTGGCTTTTGCGCTGAAAGGAAGTAATGCTTGGGACCAGGACACTTCTCCCTCTGCTTCTGTCACCAACGACGACAACACGGTCCAGGAGCCTTCATCCCCGCCAGGAGCTCCGTATCCGGCCAGTAGCACTTTCTGCTGCGGAACCTGTGGCCGCAGCTTCACCACGTCTTCGGCACTCAGCCTCCACATGAAGCTGCACCGGACACGGCGTTCCTTGTCCTGCCGCCACTGTGGGAAGAGCTTCATTCACATCAAACGCCTGCAGACGCATGAAGTCATATGCAAGGAAGTGGAGGAGCCCAAGGAAAACGCTTTGGAAGGCAGCGACACACCGTCGGATCCCGCCCTACCTCCCAAGCCGGCGGCAGCACCAGCCTCTACTAAGAAAGGCATGATGTTCCGCCACCGTAGCCTGCCGCGCATGGACTATATCTCCGACCAAGACCACTTTGTCAAAGTGGTGGATGGCCACATCATCTATTTCTGCACTGTCTGCGAGCGATCCTACATGACGCTTTCGAGCCTCAAGCGCCACTCCAACGTTCACTCGTGGCGGCGGAAATACCCGTGCCGTTACTGCGACAAGGTCTTTGCCCTGGCTGAGTACCGCACCAAACACGAGGTCTGGCACACGGGGGAACGGCGGTACCAGTGCATCTTCTGCTGGGAGACCTTTGTCACCTACTACAACCTGAAGACCCACCAGAAAGCCTTCCATGGAATCAATCCTGGTCTCATCTCTTCGGAAAAGACCCCCAACGGTGGCTATAAGCCTAAGCTCAATGCTCTGAAACTCTACCGGCTCTTGCCCATGCGCTCCCAAAAGAGGCCCTATAAAACTTACAGCCAAGGGCTGGTCCCAGATAACCTCTTGCTCCCAACTCAGCCCATTCCTATGACGTTGGGGGACAATGACTCTTTAGATGGAAACTTAGTCTCCTCATTGGGTCCCAGCGATGTCTTCACAACCAATGGCAGCGCCTTGGATCTGCCAGAGGAAGAAAACTTTCAGCAGCAAGAGACCATCCGGGAGATGCCTGTGCTCCCACCAATCGATGACACAGCCCAACCAGACGAGCCGCCAGGAGCTGCGGTGGAGGCCCCCACGGTCATCGCCTTTGGGAGGCCAACTTCTTCTGTGATAGTCCACAGTACTTCGGTGAAGTCACAGGCCTCTTCGGTGATCACATATAACAGCAAGTCTTCGGATCCATCATTAGATCCAGGACCTCCTCCTCTCCTGCCACAGACTATGCCTTCCACGGATGTGACCAAACCCATCAAGAAACAAGTACTCAAGGAATACATCCAGTCCCAGAAGGCAGACGAGCAGGGCTCAGAAGACAATGGGACCGAACATGAGCACAGAGCAAAGGTTCCGCGGGCCGGGCGTACCATGACTTACATGGCAAAGCCGGCGTATGTTGGGACTGCCTCCGAAAGCCGTGCTGCACCGCTCTGCCAGATCACGGTGCGTATCGGTGAAGAAGCAATCGTCAAGCGACGGATTTCGGAGACAGATCTCATGCTGGACAAAGGCAGCCGTGTCGGAGGCAGGCGCTTTGATTTCGGTTGGGACCAGAACGGTGACAAGCAGCCACCACCGCTGCTGGGACCACAGGGCAAGCATGGCGACTGCCCATACCCTAATGAGAGTGGCGAGGAGGAGAGTGACCGGGGAGATGCCGAAGACCAGCTCTGGCGCCCGTACTACAGCTACAAGCCCAAACGAAAGACATGCAGCAGTGGTGGTACCAGCAACGCCATGCCAAAGGTGAAGAAGTCACGGTGGCGTCGCAAGTTGCGCTCTTTGCGCTGGATGAAACGTACCGAGAAGAGTAAGGAGGCTGAGGAAGAGGAGGAAGAGGAGGAGGAAGAAGAGGAGGCCAAAGACGATGCCAGCATGGGGACCAGTGAGCCAATGTCCACTGAGGCACCCGGGGGCACTTCGGACGGTGAAGGAACGGATCAAGCACCCAGAACCGGGAATGGACGGGGCTCGGAGTGGAAGCACGAGTGCAGCATTTGCGGCAAACTCTTCTCCGCCCTCAAGAAACTGAGAAAACATGAGCGGGTGCATGGGCGCTTCGGGAAGGAGGAACATTCCTTGGTGTCCATCGCAGGCGCTCCCCACCGGGTGGGCCGCAAGCCTTTGGCGAGGTTCACCTGCACCGACTGCACAAAGGTCTGCAAGACCGCCGCAGCGCTCAGCCGCCACATGAAGCGGCACGAAAACAAGGAGCCAGAACCCCCGCCATCGCCACCTCTTCCCTTGCCGACTCCCACCACCGTCATCGCCTATTCCAAGAAGACCCCCAACTTGCCCCTGGCACCCCCCCTCTCACCCATCGTCAAGGAAGAGACCACTCAAGAGATGCAGGTGTCGTCCTCCAGCGGGGAAGCCCCTGTCATCCAACAGGAAGCGCCGGAAGACGATCCTCCGCCCATGGACCTGACGCCATACGACGTCCGGACTCTGGCGCCGATGCTGCCGGTGGAAAACTCCCCTCTGCCAGAGGAAGGCGGTTCCCCTTTCTCTGAACACATCCCCTCCCAACCGCCCATTCTGGAGGCTGTCCCTGGCCTTGTGGAAGTGCCCCCGAGTTTGCCGCACTCCCTCCAAGACCCCGTCATCTCACACACCGGCTTGGTCCAGAAGGAGGTGTTAGTGCCGCCAGCGCCACAGCCGCCGGACCTGGAAGAGGAGCGATACCCGGTCCAGGAGTACCCATTGCCGCTACTGGTTCCGGGAAGCTGCCGGACCCGGAAGGACTTAGAGGACAAGGCTTCGTTCCTGACCTACCCTAGCGCCATCCAGTTCAACAAGGCGGGCGGCAGCGATGGGGACGGCAAGATGGGCTTCTACCCGGACCCCTACCCGTTAATGTACGGGCACCAGCTCTTGGCGGCGGCCTACCCGTACAATTTCACGTTGCCAGTGGCATTGAACATGGTGGTCCCCGATGACAAGGGTCAACCCCTGCCCTTCCTGCCTAGCGTCTTCAGCTACTCCATGAACCCGTGCCGCAGCGAGGTCCACGAGGCTGGCGCCGGAACCAATGGGGCAGCAGTGGCAATGGGGACCGCTGCTGGCGTGCTCCGCGAGGGCAGAGGAGAACCAGCCAGCGCTTCCGAGCGGCTGAAGAAAGGAGCCCTTCTTTGAGAGACAGAAAAGGATTTCTTTGTGGGGAGAGGAGCACCGGGGATATTTTGGGGAAGGGGGAAAAGGAGGGTCAGGTGCGAGGTCGGTAAATCCCCTCCGTTCTGCAAAGGAGGCGTGCCTGGGAGTGTGTGCGTGCAGATTTGGAAGAGGATCGTGTTTCCGATGTGTGTGTCCGATCCGTGGGCGTCTCTGAACCTGACCATGCTTCACATCCGTTGCGTCTTGAGTGGGGCACCTCATAGATAAGACTGTAAAAAAATAGATAAATAGCAAAAAATAGGTACAGGGTAACCCCTCTTCTCCCCAGAACCCCCAAATCCCCCGTTCCCTCCAGATGAATGTCTTCTTGCTCAGTAGACACTGTTAGTGAATTTGCACAACCCGCCCGGCTCTCTCCGTAAATCCCGTTGTCCCGCCACGTCTTCGCTGTCCTGTGGTGTCATTGCAGCCCGTTCCTTTCACCTGCCAGCCTCGAAATGTAGTACACAAAGGGGAATTGTAGTGAGGGTGCATCTACGCCAGGCACGGGCCAACTTCGGCCCTCTGGGTATTTTTGACTTGGGCTCCCACAACATAGGTATGCAGGAGATACCTTGGTGGAGGCTCCAAGAGGACAAAGGCATGAGCTAACTTTGGCCCTCTGGGTGTTTTGGACTTGGCCTCCCCCAACTTGGGTATTCAGATGATCCCTTGATGGAGGCTCCAAGAGGACAAAGGCATGGGCCAACTTTGTCCTCTGGGTGTTTTGGACTTGGGCTCCCACAACGTGGGTATGCAGGTGATATCTTGATGGAGGTTCCAAGAGGACAAAGGCACGGGCCAACTTTGGCCCTCCAAGTATTTTGGATTTCAGCTCCCACAATGTGGGTATGCAGATGATCCCTTGGTGGAGGCTCCAAAAGTACAAAGGCACGTGCCAACTTTGGCCCTCCAGATGTTTTGGACTTCAACTCCCACAACATGGATATGCGAATGATCCTTTGATGGAGGCTCCAAGAGTATAAAGGCGTGGGCCAACTTTGGCCCTCCAGGTGTTTTGGACTTCAACTCCCACAATGTGGGTATGCAGATGATCCCTTGATAGAGGTTCCAAGAGTACAAAGGCACAGCCCAACTTTGGCCCTCCAGGTGTTTTGGACTTCAACTCCCACAACATGTGTATGCGGATGATCCTTTGATGGAGGCTCCAAGAGGACAAAGGCATGAGCCAACTTTGGCCCTGTAGGTGTTTTGGACTTGGGCTCCCACAACATGGGTATGCAGATGATCCCTTGATGGAGGCCCCAAGAGTTCAAAGGCATGGACAAACTTTGGCCCTCTGGGTGTTTTGGACTTCAACTCCCACAATTCCTAACAGCCTCAGGTCTCAACTGGGTCCATAATCCTTGTTGAAACAGAAAGGGCCTGAGGCTGTTAGGAATTGTGGGAGTTGAAGTCCACAACTGGGCCCATAACCCTTGTTGAAAAGAAAAGAACCTGAGGCTGTTAGGAATTGTGGGAGTTGAAGTCCACAACTGGGTGCATAACCCTTGTTGAAAAGGAACGGGCCTGAGGCTGTCAGGAATTGTGGGAGTTGAAGTCCACAACTGTGCCCATAACCCTTGTTGAAATGGAACAAGTCTGAGGCTGTTAGGAATTGTGGGAGTTGAAGTCCACAACACCTGGAAGGCAGAATTGACCTGTGCCTGGCACAGATGCACCTTGAAATTGTTGCTGACACAACCCTTAGAATAATAGAATCATAAAATCAAAGAGTTGGAAGAGACCTCATGGGCCATCCAGTCCAACCCCATTCTGCCAAGAAGCAGGAATATTGCATTCAAATCACCCCTGACAGATGGCCATCCAGCCTCTGTTTAAAAGCTTCCAAAGAAGGAGCCTCCACCGCACTCCGGGGCAGAGAGTTCCACTGCTGAACGGCTCTCACAGACTTCCTTGGCTTTGGAAGTCCCCCCAACTCTGTCCCTAGTGAAGGAGGGATTTATAGTTCCCATAGCCCTGACCTTGCTTGACCTGCATTGTCGTCCCCCCAAAAAAGGGCCGCTTCCGGCCTTCCTGTTTGTTTTCTTTGCTCCGAGCAGCTGCTGCGGCAGAAGTTTTGGAGCTTTGGAGAGCTTCCCTCCCTTCCTCCCTTTGCTCTTTCCCTCTCTCTGGCCTTGTTTTGTTTTGCAGCCTCCATGAGATGAATCACATTTTCCTTTTGGCAGGAGAGGAAGAAGGGAAGGAGAGAGCGAAGCAGGCGGAGGAGAGGAGGAGGAGAAGAGGGCAGTGTTGCGTGAAGGCAGCAGCGCAGCCTCTCCCTCCCTGAAAGCTGCCGAAACCTGAATGCACATCATGCACCTACTCTGTCCTTTCCCGATGATGAGTTCTGCAGAATTGCAAATCCCATCATCCACAAGCAAACAGGATGCAGGAATCTTAGCCCATTGATGCACATAAAGGGAGAATGGAAAGAAGGAAGAGCCTGGGGATGTTGTGAGCTTTCCATGTTCCAGAAGCATTCTCTCCTGACGTTTCGCCCACATCTATGGCAGGGACCCTCAGAGGTTATGAGGTCTGTTGGAAACTAGGCAAGTGGAGTTGATGCACACAAAGGGAGAATGGAAAGAAGGAAGAGCCTGGGGATGTTGTGAGCTTTCCACGTTCCAGAAGCATTCTCTCCTGACATTTCACCCACATCTATGGCAGGGACCCTCYGAGATTGAGAGGTTTGTTGGAAACTAGGCAYGTGGAGTTGATGCACACAAATGGAGAATGYAAAGAAGGAAGAGACTGGGGATGTTGTGAGCTTTCCACGTTCCAGAAGCATTCTCTCCTGACATTTCGCCCACATCTATGGCAGGGACCRTCAGAGGTTGTGAGGTCTGTTGGAAACTAGGCAAGTGGAGTTGATGCACACAAAGGGAGAATGGAAAGGAGGAAGAGCCTGGGATGTTGTGAGCTTTCCACGTTCCAGAAGTATTCTCTCCTGACATTTCACCCACATCTATGGCAGGGACCCTCAGAGATTGTGAGGTCTGTTGGAAACTAGGCAAGTGGAGCTGATGCACACAAAGGGAGAATGGAAAGAAGGAAGATCCTGGGATGTTGTGAGCTTTACACGTTCCAGAAGCATTCTCTCCTGACGTTTCGCCCACATCTATGGCAGGGACCCTCAGAGGTTGTGAGGTCTGTTGGAAACTAGACAAGTGGAGTTTCCCCCAATTCTGTGGCATGTGGACCATTTCAACAAAAAGGAGGAAACCACGAAAATCTGGCTACCAGTATTTTTTTTAAAAACTCATAACAGTAAATCTATATAAATAAAAATGTAATGTTCGTTTGTGGGATTAACATAACTAAAAAACCACTGGGCGAATTGACATCAAATTTGGACACAAGACACCTATCAGGCCAATAAGTGACCATCACGCATAAAAACACGGAAAAACACAGCAGAAGACACTAAAAAAGTCAAAAATAAATAAATAATAAATTACAACGCATGCGCATAACCACATAAATACACATATACACAAATATATACACACACATATACACATATATACACACAAAACACATACACAGACTGGGCCACAGCAATGTGTGGCAAGACACAGCTAGTAAAGAATAACACTCAAAAACGGGATAATTCCAGATAAGAAACAATCAGGGCCAGCTAACGCCTCCCAACAAAGGATTCCCCCGGGCAGGTTATTTATTTATTTCGTACCAAAAGCATTGCATAAATTAGTATCAAATTGATAAAAATAGAAGGAGCACAAGCGGCTAAATATCTTTTGACCAAAAATGGGCAACAGCAAATGCATTGTCTGTAACCTCCAGGTACATAGCAGCCAGGCTTTGAAGCTACATGGCCATTAAATGCTAATCAAGGTGGTCAATTGCAACATTCATACCTACCTCAAGCAGACAAGAGTTCTTTCTCCCACGCTGGACATTAATCCACAGATAGATAAACTTGATTAGCATCGAATGGCCTTGCAGCTTCAAGGTCTGGCTGCTTACTTCCTGTTTATATGCCTGAGATATATATGTTTATATATCTGAGGAATAATGTCCAGGGTGGGAGAACGAACTCTTGTCTGCTTGAGGCAAATGGGAAGTTGCAATTGGCCAACTTGATTAGCACTGAATGGCCTTGCAGCTTCAAGGTCTGGCTGCTTCCTGTTTATATGCCTGAGATATATATGTTTATATGCCTGAGGAATAATGTCCAGGGTGGGAGAACGAACTCTTGCCTGCTTGAGGCAAATGGGAATGTTGCAACTGGCCAACTTGATTAGCGCTGAATAGCCTTGCAGTTTCAAGGTCTGGCTGCTTACTGCCTGTTTATATGCCTGAGGAATAAGTACGGCAAGTATGAATGTTGCAATTGCCCGACTTGATTAGCATTGCAGCTTCAAGTCTGGCTGCTTCCTGCCTGGGGAAGTCCTTGGTTGGGAGGTGATTAGCTGGCCCTGATTGTTTCTAGCCCTGATTGTTCCTCCCAACAAAGGATTTCCCCAAGAAGTGAGAAGCCAGACCTTGAAACTGCTAGGCCATTAAATGCTAATCAAGGTGGCCAGTTGAAACGTTCACACCTAGCTCCAACAGACAAGAGTTCTTTCTCCCACCCTGGACATCATTCCACAGAGATATAAACCCCATTTTCCTAGTTTCCAACAGATCTCACAACCTCTAAGGATGCCTGAGGTGAAATGTCAGGAGAGAATGCTGCCAGAACACGACCATACGGCCCGGAAAACTCACAACAGCCACGAAAGCCTTCGACAATACAAGGAAGAGCCTATTTTTGCTACTACCATCCTGTTGTATCCTATGGGTTTCGGGTCGTGGGGATTGAGCCAAACAAGACCGGGGATCCACTGTGTTTTTAAGTTTTTGCAATGCTCGTCCCCGCCTATCCCTTCCCAAGAAAAGGTTTGAAACCAGATTTCTAGGATCTCATGGTGATCGATCGTAGGAAAAGCCCCTTCCCATAGTGAAGCGTATTCAGGATAAGGACCATTTGGATGAATTATTCCAAAGTTCAAGGACCACATTAGCCACTTTGCTAAAGTTTTAGTATATATATAGATATAGATATATTCTGTGTTGTAGGAACTCAGTCCTTAAGTTGGAAATAAAGGGAGGGAAGGGATGCTCAGTGTAAAGCCTTGCTTGCATTTCGAATGGTCTTTGGAGGCCTTCTTGGAAAAGAGAGGTGGCGTGCGCTTTCGTTATGCAAATGCATATTTTGAGACCATATAGAATAGGCATTCTTCCATTTTTCTGCCAGGAAATGCCCAATTTAAGGAATTTTCTTCCAATTTTTAAGATATGGATATTCCATTCCTCATGCTTGAAGGCGTCAACCGTATCAAACTACACTCCCCATAATCTCCAGTCAGATTCATGGGGATTATGGGTCTTGTAGTCCGAGTCAATGGGAAGAGCTTGGGTTGAGGAGGGGGCTAGATCAACCCTTTTTAAAAAAAATACGGATATTCTGTCCCTTATGCTTGAAGGAGTCAACCATTTTGAACTAGACTCTCCATAATCACCAGTCATGGGGGATTATGGGTCTTGTAGTCCAAGTTAACGAGAAGAGCCTGGGTTGAGGAGGGGGCTAGATCAACCCTTTTTAAAAAATACGGATATTCTGTTCCTCATGCCTGAAGACGTCAACCATTTTGAACTACACTCCCCATAATCCCCAGTCAGATTCATGGGGATTATGGGTCTTGTAGTCCAAGTCAATGGGAAGAGCCTGGGTTGAGGAGGGGGCTAGATCAACCCTTTTAAAAAATATGATATGGATATTCTGTTCCTCATGCCTGAAGGCGTCAACCATTTTGAACTACACTCTCCATAATCCCCAGTCAGATTCATGGGGATTATGGGTCTTGTAGTCCAAGTCAATGGGAAGAGCCTGGGTTGAGGAGGGGGCTAGATCAACCCTTTTAAAAAATATGATATGGATATTCTGTTCCTCATGCCTGAAGGCGTCAACCATTTTGAACTACACTCTCCATAATCCCCAGTCAGATTCATGGGGATTATGGGTCTTGTAGTCCAAGTCAATGGGAAGAGCCTGGGTTGAGGAGGGGGCTAGATCAACCCTTTTTAAAAATAAGGCGTCAACCATTTTGAACTACACTCCCCATAATCCCCCATGACTGGGGATTATGGATCTTGTAGTCCAAGTCAATGAGAAGAGCTTGGGTTGAGGAGGGGGCTAGATCAACCCTTTTTTAACAATATGGATATTCTGTTTCTCATGCTTGAAGGAGTAAATTGTTTCAAACTACACTCCCCATAATCCCCAGTCAGATTCATGGGGATTATGGGTCTTGTAGTCTGAGTCAATGAGAAGAGCCTGGGTTGAGGAGGGAGCTAGATCAACCCTTTTTTAAAAAATATGGATATTCTGTTCCTCGTGCCTGAAGGAGTCGACCGTTTTGAACTACACTCCCCATAATCCCCAGTCATGGGGGGTTATGGGTCTTGTAGTTGGAGTCAATGAGAAGAGCCTGGGTTGAGAAGGGGGCTAGATCAACCCTTTTAAAAAATATGGATAGTCTGTTCCTCGTGCCTGAAGGAGTCAACCGCTTCGAACTACACTCCCCATAATCCCCAGTCAGATTAATAGTGGATTATGGGTCTTGTGGTCCAAGTCAGTGGGAAGAGCCTGAGTTGAGGAGGGAGCTAGATCAACCCTTTTTTAAAAAATATGGATATTCTGTTTCTTATGCTTGAAGGAGTCGACCGTTTCGAACTACACTCCCCATAATCCCCAGACAGATTAATAGTGGATTATGGGTCTTGTGGTCCAAGTCAGTGGGAAGAGCCTGAGTTGAGGAGGAGGCTAGATTAACCCTTTAAATCATGCATGGGCAAACTTGGGCCCTCCAGGTGTTTTGGACTACAACTCCCACAATTCCTAACAGCTGGTAGTAGGAGATTGAGTGATTCCATTGTCTTGAAGCCCTATAGGTTATGGGCCCAGAAAAGCTCTGCATACAAATCAATGATTCCCAAACTCTAGCCTTGCAGGAGAATAGAATCCTATAGTGAGGAGAGAGTTCAAGGGGTCATCCAGTCCAACCTGCTTCTGCTAGACAGGAAGACGCAACTCAAGCCCTCCCGACAGATGGCCATCCAGCTTCTGCTTAACACCTCCCTCCGAGGAAACCAATTCCACTGCCAAACAACTATGAGGAAGCCTTGCCGAATGTTTAGGTTGGACTTTCAATCCTGCAAATTTGGACTTCAACTCCCAGAAGCCTCAGCTGTGTGGGCCAATTACTAGGAATTCTGGGAGATGCAGTCCAAAACTCCTGGAAAGTCCAGAAAGTGGAAAGCGCTGGCTCCATCTACACTGCCATATAATGCATTGAACTGCATTATAAGAGGGTTGAATGAAAAGTAATGCCTCCACCCTCATAGCTCCTCAACAGATGGAAGTACTGGTATGCAGCAGGTACTGGCTTGTTCAGTAGACTCTCCTCTACATTTCCATTTTGGTAGGAAGCTTTAGCATTGAACTACAGAAATATGAAAGTTGAATAAAAAGTAATGCCTCCACCTTTGTAACTCCTCAACAGATGGCAGTACTGGTATGTGGCAGGTACTGGCTTGCTCAGTAGACTCTCCTCTACAGTTCCATTTTGGTAGGAAGCTTTAGCATTGAACGGTTGTGTTGTTAAAGTGCGAAGTATGGAACCCTGCGCAGACTGTCAGTCAATGCGACTTAAGCAATGTGCAGTCATTGAATTCTTGACAGCAGAAGGTGTCACCCCCAAAAGAGATTAATCAGAGAATGCAAGCTGTTTATGGTGATTGTGTTGATGTGAGTACTGTGCGTCTTTGGGTGAATAAGTTTAAAAACGTTGAGGTGACACCCTCTGCTGTCACATTGACCGACTGTCTGTACAGGGTTCCATACTTTGCACTTTAACAGCACAACCGTTCAATGCTAAGACTTCCTGCCAAAATGGAACTGTAGAGGAGAGTCTACTGAACAAGCCAGTACCTGCAGCACAGCAGTACTGCCATCTGTTGAGGAGTTACGAAGGTAGAGGCGTTACTTTTCATTCAACCCTCGTATTTCTGTGTAGTCTCGTATAATGCAGTTCAATGCACTTGGGTCTCATCCTTCATTGCCAGATAATCCAGATTATCTGCTTTGAGCTGGATTATATTGCAGTGCAGACTCATACAATGCAGTTAAACTGGGGCTCCATCTACGCTGCCATATAGAACTATGTAACAAAGCACTATGTT